AGATGGGCAGGCATATACTGTAGACCGTATGTTGTGGGTGAAACACCTGTTTGTACCGTTGGCCTGGCTTAAAACTTGAAGTACACGAGGAGGGGAGTTGGTTGTGTTTTCGTCGCGGTGTGTCGCTTGGAGCTGTAGCTCCTATCGAACGAAAGGCATGTGGGAGAGTCAGATCTACCGTAGCTATCTTTTAGTGGCGACGACCTCATGTCTTCGTAGATTCAACGGATGGTCGGTCCATTTGGGGTGGTGTTGGGGTGTTGGGGTGCTGTCTAGATGCGTATTTCATGCGCTCGTGTAGCTTTATTCGTGTCGCGTTATCCCGGCATCCCATGTACAGTACTACGACGGCTGGCTGTAGACCTAGTTACACATTGTGTTGTTCGGCTGAATCCAACAACACGATGGTCCTATTACAAAAACCGTCCATTATTGATTGCACCTTATTTCATTATGAGCAAAAATAATGTTGTTACCCCTACTGCTAGCGATATTAGCGGGGGAGTGTGGTTAGCGGAAAGAATATCTCTCAACTATTTACTAAATCCGCCCGCGGGTGATGAGATGGCCAAAACACAAACTCAAAAGTCATGGTGAAGCAGATGCGAGCAGAGTCGTATTCCCTTTCCAGGGTGCGACATTGTTGCCTGTTTGGTTTTACAAACAAAAAAATCCTCCCTTTGCTTTTTTCGCACCCTTCTTGTGCCAGATGAATCCCCCGGTGTGCGAGAGAGAGTAGTACCACAGTTAGTAGTTGTGCGATCACCCCCGCACACATGTAATCAGCTGTGGTGTAACAACGTTACGCGGCGACTTCGCCATCTCTGCCGGTAGTCTACAACATGGACAGCAACCATAGTCTAACGTACACTAAACCCAGCAAATAATACGTGCTCGCGGGCCACACAAAAAAAGTATCATTTTTTCCGAGTCTTGTCACATGGTACATGTCAATGTGTAGCATGACAGAACAGCATACATTGTACAGCAACACAACATGTCGTTCCCGTCGGATCGGACGTGGGAGTTACACGGTGGTATCGCTCAGAGTGTACCGGCCGCTTGCTTCTGATACAGCCGGCTTTCCTGTTCTTAGAAAGTATACTTGTACATAATCTCACAGAAAGACTACCGGCGTCGAAGGGAGGTGCTTTGCATATCATACGAGTCTGTTCTGTTCCGCGTTTGGTCGGGAAAAAATAATGCTGTCGTCAGTTTCGCCGTTTCGTCACGAAATCCGTGCTTGGCATGTACAGTCTATAAGAACTCCGAATCTCCGTCAACGCCCCTTCTCATACAACCCAACCTGGGAACCTGGGACGCTGGACCCGACACCCTGCCATCCTGCCTGTTCCGCAGTCGCGATGCTAGCCCATGCGTGTTCTCGAAGGTCAGCAGCCTTGGCTTACCATGCAAGATCTACGAGGCAAGTCTTCCTTCGCCCGCTAAGGAGGCGGTGGCTGTAAAACCCCATGTTGCACACGCATCTCCCGGTTGCTGTTTCGTTCTAATAGTTCACGGCAACATCGGCACTCTGCCGTTGCAAGGCGCAGCGTTTCTTATCTTCCGTTCTAAGCCATGCACGAGGAATAGATATGAATTTGGTATTCCCGGGAACTACTGTGACACGGAGAGCCCCTGTATTATCACGTAGGAACGGAATCGGCGCGGTTTTTGACGTGAAAGTGCGACAGCAGACTGTACTACAGCAGTGCTTCGAAGTACATGACGCCAGACGACAGCGTGAAGGATAGCGAGCGAGAGCAGCGAGGTCCCAATTGCGTTGCAAATTTTGATGCAATCGCCGTCTGAGTTACCTCCGTCATGCTACGATGGGCGTGGACCTCTCTGTCTGTCTCTCTCTCTCTCTCTCTCTCTCTCTCTCTCTCTCTCTCTCTCTCTCTCTCTCTCTCTCTCTCTCTCTCTCTCTCTCTCTCTCTCTCTCTTGTGGCAGGCGTTACTGCATCCACGCAGCAGGAGCTCCTGAACCTGCGACCGCAGCAGGAGCAAATAGGCGCCACGAGACTCGATTTCGGAGGCGAAATCTAGGAAGCAGCATCTCCTCTGAGCCCGGTCCACAGCACCAGCGCTTTTCGGCCTTGAAATCGACAGCGGTGCCGTTGCGCGGAGAATCGCAGCGTCCCCACCGGGAGCAGGGGCGACGACGATTGCCCGACAACCGTTGCGACGGGGGCGGGCCAGCGGTCGCAGGTGCCACTGCTGCGAACATCCACCCACGCTTCGATGGCTCCCTCCTTGGATATGGGTGCGTACCGCCTTGTGTGGTTTTAATTATTAGCAGGGCGGTGGTTGTGTGTATATCACTGAAATAGCATCGGGCGTCGCACGTATTCGGCTGACGAATGAACGGACGTCACATGCGGTGATCATCGGGGCGGCGAACACGTTGGTGTGTGGAACGCTTTCCAGTCCACAGGTTCCCTTGACACGGGGGCTGTGAAGGAGGCTGGAAGAACGATCCGTCCTCCGGATAAGAGATCTTGCAAAAGCACACTACAGGAAGCCATCTCTACTGCTGCTGTAGCAAGCCCCGCGTTGTCGCGTACTTTCAGCATTTTTTTCCCTGCAGTAGACCTCTTTAGCGTGGGCGTGTTTGCGTGTGCATTGCGATGTACACAAGACAGCAACACCAGTAGCTTGATCCTCGCTTCTTACCGTTTGAAGGCCTCAGCACCCATTCACCGGCGCCTGAGCGGCCTGGGGGGTTGTGGAATTCCCCCGATACATCACTGGGTTCTTGTGTTCTTCTAAAGACCACACGGCAACATCGATGGGGAGGGATGATTGAATGGTTCGTATATGGGCAGGGCATGGTTTCCTTCTCTCGCCCGCTGCAAGAGTGCTGCCTCTGGATTGTTCTAATAATTTATGGTGCGTCTAGGCAGACGCTTGTGTCCTGTGCATTGTCAGGATCCAGCGCTATACACCGGGATTGAAGCCGACAAGCGAAAGAGACCTCCGGCACTCTGTCTCTGAGCACCACAAATGATGGACGTCAACGTAAACCTCGTCTTTTTATTTTGTCATCATCCCGTTCATTGTGGACGTCGGTTCCTCACACCTTTCGGCACAGTTCTGGAAGCACCAGCCGGGGTCACACAGCAGGAAAACACACACGAAGAGTTGCTGTCTCCGCCCTTCTTGTGCGGTGATTGCCTTGATTTCTATCTCGAGAAGGATTCAGCCGTTCCTTTGCCTCGTCGACCGTGAAGTCGAGATGTTACGTACACACACGAAATGTTTGGGCATGTTGTGAGAAAAACACCCCAGTTTGCGTGACTGCACCGAGATTCGAACCCACGTCCAAGCGCCAGAAGGTTACGAGGTTCTGAACCACTACTGCTGTTACATGCATGCACGGGTGCGACTCAATAAAGTCGGCCTTTGCCAACTACTGCTGTGTGCGAGAGTGCACACAGCTTGCCGCTGTTTTCCCGCCGAGGGACGCACGTCTGTGATGCCCTCTTTCGGGAGTGTGACATCCTCGACGAGCTCCCCCGCAGCTTGACAGCACTTCACTGATCTCTCTCTCTCTGGCCCGCGACTTGTTACTATTGATAGGTGTTGAGTGCCGAACACAAACATCTTCCGTCATTGACAACTGTATACTACTCTTGATCGTCGTTTCGCCAGCAGAGTTCTGCTCACCCTCGCGCCATCTGAAGCGGCGATCGGACGCCTGTTGTTGGTCCCACGTGGACGGAGGCCTCTGGACATGTCGGCCGTACACAAAGCAGCGCCGACCTGTGGCGTGGCACCACTTTTTTTCGATTTTTGTGTCGCAACGAATTGGCTTAATTTTCCTAGTATGGAGTCCATCCTGTTAAATCTTGCCACCATCTCCCAGGATCACTCTGGGATTGATTCCGAGTGACTGACATACCCACCGGTGACGTACCTTACATGGTAAGAAAGCTCTGTTTCAAGCGAATCGTTTGATGGAACCTTTCTTTTCTTTGGTTGGCGAGAAAATCGCGATTTCGTCGAGGTTTTTTTAAAGGTTTCGCTTGGTTTTGTTTTGTCGAATATGAGGTCCGATTTTTTTTTTCAGACCAATTTGAGCGTGGCGCTCACGAGGACCCCTCTCAGTGTTTTTTCGCTGATACGCTAATGAAAAATGGGCGAAACATCGCGTTCCAGTTTACCTCAGAGTTTCGTTTTTTGGGGAGGAATGTATCGATAGAATTCGAAAAAACTCAACGGATTCGGACGAATTGGACCTGCACCCCGGACACCATTTTTTTGTTTGTTCCAAAAAACATTTTTGTGGCGAAATATGGCCCGTCAAAGTTTGGTGTGTGTACACACCACGCATGACCAAAGGACACACCATAGTCCACGTCATACAGCGCATGCATCTACTGGATTACATTTTTCTATCTAGAATAAGTGTTGGTGTTTCGCTGTTGCGAAGACGGTGCTGAGAGGGGGGTGACATTTTACCCGGATGGACTCGAGCGGCATTCCAAATCCCATGGCGGCTGAACACAAAAGTGCCTTTTTTTTCCTGTGTGCGCCTCGGCATGCCTCCCCCACCCCCTTGTTGGTACATACCCGACTCGCCCCACAGAGCTAGCAGTCGACACATGACATCAAGCACAGGCACCGGCGGTGCCGACGCCGACGACAGATCTGGTGGAAACGGCGAACGAAAGCGGCGGCACCCGGCAGCGGGGACGGGGGACCAGGGACAGCCGCCGCTGGGCGGGCGAGGGGCGTGTCGGGCGACGGCCCCGTCGATCGCGCCGGCGGTCAAGAGGACGGAGGAAGCGGAGGAGGCTTCCGAGCGGGATAACGCCAAGCGCATCCTGAGGACCCTGGCGACACACCTGTGGCCGAGCAAGGAGCTCCAGGTGCGAGTACACAGCAGTGCGAGGGGGGGGTGTTGTGGCTTTGGAAACAAGGGGGGGGGGGGGACGTCTGGTCGTGCGGCTCTGTGTGTGCAGTCTTGAGATTTTTTTTTTTTTTTACGTGTAACCGAGACCGTCGCTTCTTGGAAAGATATCGAGAGTCGAGAGACGCCAAAAGCTTTGGATAGGTCTCTGTAAGGTGGAGGAACGGTGCTCGAAAGGGCTGATGCGTGGCCAATAGGCAAGTGACCCCCCGCCCCCCCCCCCTCGGTGCTCACCCTGTCGTCTTCTTTCTCAATGACAACAAAGGCGGACCACGTGAGCATCAAGGCGCGGGTAGTGGGATCACTGGCGCTGCTGCTGGGCGCCAAGCTCGTCACCATTCAGGTGACGCGCGCGCATCAGCATGCAATACATCTCTGCTACGTCTGAGGGTGGAAACATGGGAGTGGCACCACATTGCAGAGAATGCAATTTGATGTACCTCATGAACAATTGGCTTGGTGCGGCATATATATGTGCGGGCAAGGGGGTAGACGGGGGGTACTTATGCACTCCTCTGTTGGCGACCCTTCGCGTGGTCGTCTGACCATTGACCGGATATCCCTTGGGAGATGGAGAGGAGAGGAGAAGGGGCGTACGAAAATGGGAGTGGAATGGCCGTGGTTGTCGAGTTTTGCTGCTCAGCACAAGCAAGGATTGTAGGGGGGAAACGAGGCGAAGAGCGGGGAGTGAAAAAGAACGCGCAAATCCGTGTTGTGCTGCGTTCGCTGTATGAACCTTGGTGTGAAGGGAGCACGGCGAAGGGGGCGTTTTTGTGGGTCTACCCTGTTCGTTCTACGCCCACGGCTCTCGTCCCCTTGCGACATAGATATGTTCAGGGCGTTCTTTCAGGAGCGGCAGAAGGAAATGCCGTGGAGGAAACCGTTTGCAGATGTGCGCACATGATACGTTAGACAGAGCGCGTGGTTTCGGCCACAATTAAACTAGAAACCGCGTCGGTTCCTCTTGCGTTCCAATCCAACTCCAGGGGAAAGTTTCCGAGCCCTCGTTTTTCCTTTGCGTTTGGCATATACATTGAAACCGCAAGGCCGTGAAGCTGCCCAGGTGTCAGCGAACCAATCAACATGCGCACTGCCCCGTTTCTCCCTGCTGTCCCCCATAGTGCCGAGGAATTAATTACTCAGCGGCGAATCAGCACCCTCGCATCACCCCCCGCCCCTTTGTGCCAGGGGCATTCATGGCAGATCCCCTGGTCCTCGTACACATGCCACCGTTGTCAACCTGCCGGCTCTTTTGACGGCGTAACAGCAGTGCAGCGGCGCACCAGCAGCAACGTGTCACCTGTCGTCCCCATGCACGTTGAACAGGTACCCTTCATCTTCAAAGGCTTGGTGGACACCCTGGGCGAGACGTCTCGGGTGGCGGCAGCGGCGGCGGCGGCGACCGGCGACGCTGTGGTCGCTGGCGGGGTGTCCCCCGAAGCAGCCGTCGCGGTCCCTGTGTCGATGGTCCTGGGGTACGGGATCGCGCGCAGCACCGCTTCGGGCGCGCAGGAGGTGCGTGGCGCGTGTTTTGCGAGTTTCTTGTGCTGGTGGTGATGGGCGCGAGGGCCGCTGTGCCGGGGGCTGGGATTTCATTGTGTTTATTGGTGTTGGCTGCCGCTGCGGCTGCTGCTGCGGCTGCTGCTGCTGCTCCTGCTGCTGCTACTCCTGCTGCGGCTGCTGCTGCTGTTGCTGCCTCTACGGTCGGTGTTCTGTTGCCGAGGCTTTTGGTTTCGAGTTTCGGCTGCTGCCATTGGGTGGTACTTTTTTGTGTGCAAGCAAGGTTTTGGCACGGGTCGTCGAGAGAGGTGGTCGTTGCTGCTGCCCCCGATGCCGCCGCCGTGAAATGAGTTGCTTGTATCATGCATGATTAGATGATTTCGATGATTATCATGTTACGACTTTGAGCACCAACAATGCAGTTGGGTGCTGTTCACCGTTGCTAGATACCGGAGTTTATCTTCGTTCCTCCATCTTGAGCTCTCTATCGATCCCCCATCTCCCCGTTTGTCCCCCCGATACTGCCCTCCGCAAACCCCTTTGCCATCCCGCGATAAGTTCCAGCCGAGTACAGTGGCGGTTGTGGCCCTATCCCTTGCCATCTTCCAACTTTTCAATGTCCCCCCACCCCTACTCCGCTCCATTTTTTCAGTGAATGGTGGATGCCCCCCCCACCCCCCCCCCCCATGTTCGTTTGTTCCAGTTGAGGAACGTCGTCTTCGCGGTGGTTGCCCAGCGAGCGATCCGACGAGTGGGTCGAGACGTTTTCGAGCACCTGCACGACCTGGGCTTGAAGTACCACCTCGAGAAGAACACGGGCACCGTTAGCAGAATCATAGACCGCGGTGGTGAGAGAACAGAGCAGAGCAGAGCAGAGCAGAGCAGAGCAGAGCAGAGCAGAGCAGAGTGGAGCCGCGCTGAAACTGAGCTGAGCTGAGCTGGACTGAGGCTTCAGTCGGCTTTAACGCCACTGCGGACGCTCTAATGTTTTTTTAGCCAGAAGACGGACGCCGCCGCCAGCACCGCAGTAGTAGTAGCGGCAGCAGTAGCGGCAGCAGGACCGTGGGGTTGCTTTGGGCGTTCTCCCTGCCCCTGCTGCTGTCACTGTTCGTGCTCCCACCCTTACGCCCCGTGCCTCCGTGCCTGCCTCCCTTCGCCAATCGGCATAAACCTCCTTGCAATTTCGTTTGTTGTGTAGGAGTACAATTGTGCCATTTCTGACGCTCTTTTGTTAGTTTTTTGCAGGACCGCCTGTCGGTTGGTTCGGTCTGTCTGTCCCCTGCTTTGTCGCTTCGAAACGTCTCAAGACTCCTCCGATTTGTTTTTTTCGTTGACTTTTGTGTTTATTTTTCGCTCCCTTGATCGTTCCAGGTCGGTCCATCCAGTACACGTTGTCTGCGATGCTGTTCAACGTGCTCCCTACAATCGTCGAGATCAGTGAGTTCGGCGGCAAGCAAGCTTCCCTTCACACTCCACTAGCTGTACACGGGGCTTGTGTTTGAAATTTGTATGCGTCGAAGACCGATCTGGGCCCGACAGTATGTATGCACAGCCTTCATTTTTTATTATTCCAAGGCTCTTGTGTGGTAGGTACGCACCACCGGTATGTAGGTTGAGAGAGAGGTACGGGGTGCCCACTCGTCTGTGTATTGTCAAAGAACGCTAAATACGTCTACGATTTCATGAGGGAGAGGCATACATTTGTGTGCAGGCAGGAAGCAGCGCGACTAAGGCACAAACCTTTGTTTTCTATGATACGGGGGGGACCTGCTGCCGTCATGTGGCATGTAGTTCTTGGTCGTTAGTGACATTCCCATGTGCCATTTTTTTTTTCCCGGTGATGACGTCACATCACCATGACGATGATACAACAGCAGCAACCGCGCGTGGCATTGTGTATTGTGGCGCCAGGCGTCTAGAGTTTTGTACCATGATGATTGAAACCGTAGACCCAAGACGACAAGAACTACAACAACTTATACAACGATCATCATCTCCACCGCTTGTGACAGGCTTGGTTTCGGGCATCCTAGCGAGCCAGGCCTCCTGGAAGTACTCGGCCGTCTGCTGCTCTACCATCGTGACGTACTCCGCCTACACCTTCGGCATCACGCAGTGGAGGACCAAGTTTCGGAAGCAGATGATAGCCCAGGAGAACGAGGCTAGCGCAAAGGTAGGCCAGTTGGTCTCGTCTCGTCTGGCATGGCGGCCTTTTGTGTCAGTCTCTCGAGAGTCTCCCAAAAGGCTTTCCGAAAAGGGGAACGGGGGATGTGCAATAGCCAAGTTTTAAAATTGACTGCAAAAAAAACTCCCGTCCTGCTGTTGTTCGTCCTACGCGGCGGAAAATACGCCCTCCTGTCCTGCCACGCGCTACATATCACGATTCTACATGCCGTTCGTGTGTGACTGTGTAGACATCGCACCGTTTGCTTGGTCTCGGTGAGGGGGGCAGTTCGTAAGGCATACAAGAGGCACTCTATAGCCTTATTGTGTTGGGATGCACACCCGTCGCCTGTGAGCCCCAAGGACGTTAAGTTTTGCGGGAAAGCAAAAAATTACAAACTTGGCGCTAGCGTACTTTTCAGGAGTCTCACTGGTTGGGACCCTATTTCATGTAGAACCGCCGGTGTCCGATGGTCATCGCTAAAGGCTTGACAGACGAGGTCGTTCCTGTGGATTTGATCGGTAGTGTTAGTCTACCGGCGCCACTTGCCTAAGATATCGCGTTAGGCAGTGCGCGTATCTGGTTCCCGCCCGCATATACCGTAACGCGCCTCCCTTGACAGTGCCGTTTATGTCTATGTGTCCATCGATCGATCGGACACAGCGCAAGCCCCCGCGAGAACGGTTTGCAGAGGTGTTGTATGCGTAGCTCACCCCCCCAACACACCTCAGGGCGCCCCCATCTTTCTTGCCTATCTTGGTCGGCGACCCCCCCCCCGTGCTCGGTCCCACCCTCGTTCGCAGAGAATTGGAGGGCTCGCACGGAAAAGTGCACGCTCCATATGCACGGCCCTGGTGGTATTAACAACTTTCTTTACCCCACGGACCTTCGAACTTACCCGGCTTGTTCTGAAAACAAGGTGACCGACTCCCTAGTGAACTATGAAACCGTCAAGTACTTCAACAACGAGGCCCACGAGGCGTCCCGCTACGATGAGTCCCTCAAGGGTTTCCAGGAGGCGTCCGTCAAGACGCAGACCTCGCTCAGCATGCTCAACGTGGGCCAGCACGTGATCTTCAGCACCGGTCTCACGGCCATCATGGCCCTGGCCGCCTCCGACATAGGTGAGACAAGAGGGAGAAAGACAGGGAGGGGGGGGGGGGGGAGAGGGGGCAACACGCGTACAGTCGTTTTTGTCTTTTTTGTTGTTTTTATCTTTTTTGGCCCTAGGTTTTGCTGGCGCACGTCAGGAAACATGAATGCGAGAAAGGGGGGAGGGAGGGAGGGAGGGAGGGACAAGAGTTGTGTTTTGGGCCTGACCCGTCCATGACAATGGGTGAGGCAGAACAGGCCAGGGATTTGATGCACACAACCTTCCTTTCATTGTCACGAAACAGCGGCGATGGCAGCTCTTTGGAGAGAACCAACGTGTAAACACGTCAATGGGAAAAGCGTTTCGAGAGGGTGGTGTTGACTTGAACGGGGAAGTCATGTTACGTTTTCATGTTTTTTGTCCCAGTTGTTTCTGTTGTTACCCTTTCTTATTTGTTCTGCGTTGTCAGCGGCCGGGCACTCCACGGTGGGCGACCTTGTCCTGGTGAACGGCCTCCTCTTCCAGCTGGCTATCCCCCTGGGCTTCGTCGGGAGCACGTACCGCGAGGTCCGGCAGGCGTTGATCGATATGACGGCCATGTTCAAGATATCCGACACGGTCCCCCAGGTACAGAACCTTGCCACGAGTAGAGAGAACCCTTGACAAGGTCAGAAGGATAAAGCTACCGTGCACGCCCCCCCCCCGAAAGAGACTGCGGTGAATAGTGGTTGGTCGCTGTGCAAGTGCAAGGCCGCCTGAAGTGATGGCCGGTTGTGTGACACGGGTGTAATATTCAAGCGTGCCGGTTCAAAACCCTTGACACTATCCAGCCTTTCAGGGACCAACCACTCTGGTGTGCAGGAAATACCCCCCACGGAGCGAAGTGAGCTAGGACGCCACCTCAAGCATACACACGGTAGATAAGCATGAAAATAGTGACTTACCCTGTCATTTGCAGGAGACATGAGCAGGCCGGCCGACAGAAAGAGCTCGGGAAACGACAGCAAGTCGGGAAAAGGACGAGAGCCCGTAAGACAAATTAAAAGAAAGAGCAAGAAAATACCGTCCAAGGGCAAGAAAGCACACGTAGGGGGAGCATGACGTCATGACGTCTATTAATAGTGTTGTTGTTCTCGAAGGGATCATTTTACCTGCCGAGGGGCGAGAGAAAGAACGAAGACCTCAGCCGCTGCCCGCACGCGTGCGACTATTTCGTGTTAGCGAACACGCTGTGCCAATTTTCTGTGCTGTACATGTACGCAGATTTCACGTCTTCATGTACGTGCCACCAGCATTTACAACACAAATCTATGCTGACCTCAAGGCTTGCTTCTGTTTGATCCCATCGATCTTCGCTACAAGCGGTATGTTGTGCTGCTTGTATTGAATGGACAGGTGGCCGCAATGCCACCTCTTTCCTCTACCCACCTCGTCCTCCCTCAAAGCAAACACGTGTCGCTCGCTCCCCCAACAAAACCAGAAACACGTATTTTTTTTGGATACAAGGCCCATTGATTTACTTTGATCAAACAGCGCGGATAATGTCTTTCATTTACATTTTGAATACGTAATTAACTTAACTTGAATGATGACGTCGGGATGTCGCTTCTTTCGACAAAAGACACCAACCATTGTTCGCTCTCTGCGATCGAATTTTGACGACGGCTCGGGGTCGGCACAACCCGACCCACACGCACACCCTCCCTGGCTGACTGGCGCACCTGCCACGGAAAAAATCAGCCATGGGAATGACTGGTGACTGTGTGACGCCCAGAAAAAAATAACCCACCAAACTGAATGGTTCCCCCCCTGGTGACTCTGTCCCCGTGCTTCATGGCCTCAAAATATGGTGCGACAAACTGGCTGTCGTCGTGAGTCTCACCCCGGTTGTCAAAGATGTGGTTGTCTTCTATCCGTTCGTTTCCACCCCTTTTTTTATTTCAAGGTGACCGACCGGGAAGGCGCGGCGGAGCTGGTCAACGCAGATGTCGGGGGCATCTCTTTCACAGACGTTCGCTTCGGCTACGGGCCCGACCGTGAGATCCTCAAGGGACTCACGTTCGAGGCAAGCGAACACGAATTCGTGTGGTAGATGTCGTGATTTGTTGCATGTTGTTGTCTTGTTGTTGTTACTGTGTTATATGTGGAGTTGTAGTGTTGTGTTGTTACACGAGGTGTTGATTGTCTGTCGGTTGCCATCGAGGTTGTCGTCGTTATTGTTCCATCCTTGTCGTCGTTGTTGCGTAGTAGTGGTTCTTGTTGCTGTCGATGTTGTTGTTGTCGTTGACATTGCTGCTGCTGTTTTGTTTTGTGAGTGGTCGTATGACTCTAGAAGTTTTGGGGCGATTTCCGCTTCTCAAACGCTGCCCTATACCCCCCGCAATCAACACGGAAGCTTATGGGTGGAGCATGTTGCAACGCTCTTGTTGGAACACTCCGGGCCTGTTGTTGACCCCTTTGTCTGTCTGTCGTTGCCAACCAACGCCCTCTTGTTTTCGTCGATTATGCAGGTTCCTGCTGGCCAGACCGTGGCTATCGTGGGGCACAGCGGCTGCGGCAAGTCAACCATCATGCGCCTCCTCTACCGCTTCTTTGACATCAACTCCGGGAGGTAACGATACAACACCATTGTAGTCTTTTGTCGGTGTTGGAAGACAGGTCGTGGATTCATACTGCTGTGATGCTTTCATTTTTTTGTCTTTGTTGCCTGAGTGGCGTGGTGTTCGAGATTTGAATGCCTGCGATGAAGCTCCACGTTTGTTGTGTTTTTTTTCTAGCAAACACCTGCTACCCGCTGCTTTCTTTTTTCCGTCTTGGCCTCTCCAGAGGGTGGTATTTTCGTTTGGGTTGATGAAACCCAACATGTTTTACCAACATGTCGGGCAGTTATTAGTGCGGTGTGGTCATGCGGCGATGACCCAACTGACCCACGTATGCTCTTACTTCTCTCACCTTTACACCACTCGCTAAATTAGCGGTTCAGACAGTGACACACCCCGTTTGGCTCCTATGATAGCAAAGTCTTCATTTACTCCAAAGTTAGCTTTCGTACTCACGACACGTTATCAGCTCAGCGATATAGCACTCTCAGGCTTCGGTTTCTTTCACGCGGCTTGGCTGCACTGCGTAAACGCAAGGTGCTGTAAGGGAGGCGGGGCCCTGCCATTGGGAGCGGCAGAGACACGGACACCGCACCTCCCTCCACCTGCAGGTCCATGGCCGGGAGGTCTTTCGTCGCTTTCCCAACGGCCTGATCTGCGCCCGATAACCGGGCCTCCGTCTTGACAGGGTGTGACGCGCAATCAATGGTGAATGGCCAAGGCAGGCCACGAGCGTGTGCTTCCCCTCTCCCGACCGGAAACACTCGCATGCCACCCCCCGCTCACCCCTTCCTCTAGCGGACGCGTGGTCAACGGTCTAACAGCTAAGGCATGCAAAGCATGACGACCCCCCCCCCCCCCCCCCCGGCCGAACAAACACAACAGCATTAAGATCGCCGGGCAAGACATCAAGGAGGTGTCCCAAGCGAGCCTTCGGCGGGCGGTGGGAGTGGTTCCGCAGGACACAGTGCTGTTCAACGACACGATCGGGTACAACATCGCGTACGGCGACCTGTGCGCCGGGACGGAGGAGGTGGAGGAGGCCGCGAGAAAGGCGCAGCTCGACTCTTCCATCGCCAGCATGCCGCAGGTGCGTTTGTGGAGAGAGAAGGCATCTCACGGGCGGCCGTGAGCGTTTGTTTGTGTTTGTTTTTCGCGTCTTTTTGGGGGGGTGTTGCTGTTTGTTGTATGGTTGTTGCCGAATTTATCGTCTTCGTCGGTCACAGCTAATACCTACTGTTGGTGCACTGTCCGTGCATCCAGGACGGTGCCGCCCGCTACGCCCGTCGCCAGCACACCCGACCGCGGTACGCCTCCATACCCTGGAGGCATGTGCTTGACTTTGTTTCAGGTGTGCTTCCTGCCTGCTCAAACCTCATGTTTTCCTCTATTTTCTTCTCTTTTGACGCAGCACACGTTCTCTTTCTTTCTCGCCCCCTCAAGGGCTACGGCACCGTTGTCGGCGAGCGCGGCCTGATGATCTCGGGCGGAGAGAAGCAGCGCGTGGCAATCGCGCGCGCCATGCTCAAGAACGCCCCCATCCTCCTCTGTGATGAGCCTACCTCGTCTCTCGACACCAAGGTGATTGGTTGTAGACTACTCGACCTTGTCATGGTGTGTCGACCCTTGCTCCCTAACTTCCACCAGTCTTCCTTTTCGCTCTCACATAGGGCACGGCAGAATTTTGCAACTACCACTGTGCTGTGGTGTTGTTGTTGTTGTTGTTGGTGGTGGTAGTGGAGGTGTGCCATTACTTGTTGCCGCAGAGCTGAGATTTCTGTTTTCCTGTCTCGAAGTTTGTCCAGGCCAAAGACGGGTGGTGTGGGTGGGTGTAGAAGTTCGCGATTTGCGAAAGGACGGGCAGAGTTAGGCAGGCAGATATGATAGCCGTCGTACAGCAGGCGCTTTCTGGCATCCTCTGCTTTAGCTGCTTGGCATCCAACGATAGAAAGAAATGCGGGAGCAAGACGTGCGTGGTCTTCTT